CCAACCTGGGCGCGCAGCCCATGCTCTGGCCGGCGTGGGTCTACTGTACGCGCTACTCGGACCGGCCTTCTTCAGGTGAGCCTGCGGGGACCACGCGTCCCAGCTCGCCGTGGGGAGGTCCGCGGAGCTGGGGGGCGGTGCTGGCGCGGGAACTTAGCGGGAGGAAAACATCTCGAACCTCCCCCGCACACACGCACAAAGACTCACGCGACATTGTGTGAAGCTGACGCCTGCCGGGGCAGCGGCCAGGCGTCCAGCGGCAGGACTGATTCGCTAGGGAGCACAGACTTCTTAGCACCGTAGAAGGCACCTCCTTTCTTTCTCTGTCTCTCTCCATACTCTCTCTCTGTCTCCCGTCTCTCTCTTCCACCCCGCCTTAGGGCATCTGTTCCCAGCCCGTAACCCATGTCTCCCCCACTGTAGTTTTTTTGGTGGGAACGGGGTGGCTGGAAGATGGGTCCGGAAGTGCACACTCTCAACCCCTTCCCTGCGATCTTTCAACTCAGGCCAGGCCCGGGATGCATGCCCCAGCCCACCCCAGACTCGTCCTACCGTTCGGTTATCCCGGCTGTGCTCGGGGAAGAAAAGGCGAGGCCCTTTGCTGCTCTGCCTTCTGCCCCTCGGGCCTGCACTGACCGGTGGGACGCAGGAGGACGCACACAGGGAAGGAGGAAAATAAAGGCGCCCTTTTCCCTTGGCTCCACTTTATTTGCCAACGCCAGCCCCCAGTGGTGGGGCTCAGCCCCCTTCCTGCACACAGCGAGGACAAGGGAGGCAGCCCTCCTTCCCTGCACCTGCCATCCCCAAATAGGAAGGACCTTCTCTCCAGGTTTCCTGGGGGCTGCTGATAGGAAAGAGGCAGCATTTGCAGGGGCCGTGCAGAGATGCCGGCTGTGTTTTTTCATAGATCTGGGATTTTAAAAAACTAAGTCCATGTCCTTGTAGAAATCATCAACTGCATTCCATGCGGGTCTGCGGCTGGGAACCGCCATTAGCAGTGGGCTGTTTGACCCCAAGCTGGCAGCGGATCCCCGCTGCCCCCAAACCCTCAACTATTTTGCGGGGGTCATTGGTCCAGATCATCGCAGGAGTGAGCCAGCCCTTCGGCCGCCATCCCGCAGAAATATGCGTGCATATTTCTGATGAAATTCAGATTTCTCCAGCTAGATCTGAAATTTGCTCCATTGTTCTCGTCTTCCTCCTTTGTTAATATTTAATTAACATACAGGCTCACAATGCCGGGCGAGGAGCCTCGGCCGGGCTTTGTGAGGCGCCGGAGTTCGCCGAGCCAGCCCCCAACGGCCCAGGAGCTGGGCAGCACCGCCTGGCCCTGCCTGGCCCAGCCCAGTCCAAGTCGCCTATCTTCATGGGCTTTAAAATATCCCTGCAAAATAATGTTTCTGTTCTTTGGCTTCTCCGAAAGAAAGGGCAGAGAGAGTTTTCTTGGGGAGGTTTGATTCTGTTTCTGAGACTCCTAAGTATTTGTCTTTTGAAAGAAAACCAACAACAAAAAAAGGGAACTAAAAATGTTTATTTTAGGGAAATTTCTTTCTATAAAATGGTGTCTTTTTGAGGGTTAATTCATGGGTGCATTAACAAGAGCCCCAGGACTGGAAGAGTTTGGGGGTAGGGCACACACTTCTCTGGGGAAGGGAGTGGTTGGAGATCCAGACAGAGGCGGGCTTGGGGAGCAGGAGGTTGAAGCCTCTCCTGGAGCCTTGTGCCCCATCCCCCAACACCATTCCGGAGAGCCAACTCCATCCCCAAATCTGCACCTACCCCTGCCAAAGCCAGGCCCACTGGCGTGGAGCCCTGGGCTTACAGCAGGACTCTCACTGAGTGTTTGTGTGCACTGGGGTGGGTGCGCTCATGGGTGGTCAGCCTGCCTGTGGGTTGCTTTAAAAGCTACCCTTGGTGCCCTCCTGGTGGTGCCCACAGATCCTCTTTCTCCAGGCCCGGCTCCTGGAGAGAGCACAAGGCTCAGTTAGCCGTGAGGGAGTGCTTGGTGTTCACCCTGAGCCTCCAGTTGGTCTCCCACCTCTTGCTGGGCACAGCCCCAGCACCCTAGTTGACTCTCCTGACCTGGGCAGGGTGCAGCCCCAGGGCCTCCAATGAGACCCACATTCCTCTTCTCTTCAGGGTGCCCGGCAGCTCTCTGGCCCTGAAGGGTGGGGGGCCCCGGCCTTCTCCAGCTGCAGGGACCTGTGATGAAGCTGGGGCCAGATGCTCCCTAAAGCCCATTCATATACCGCACAAATTGAAACCCAGAGGCGAGGTCACCACTCCCTGCCCATGGCCTTGCTCCCTTCTTCCCCCACAGGGAACACCAGGGGGTTGAGCCTCTTAACACCAAAAAGAAACTGATTACACTTCCCTCCTCCTGCTCTCCTCCCTCTGCCCTTTCCCCACGGAAAGGCCGCCTTAGAGCGACCCTTCCCCAAACCTGGGGTAGGTCCATAGGGAGGAGGCCAGGGCAGCTTCAGAAGTCTGAATCCCAGTGGGGAGGCACAGTGGGGAGGGTCAGAAGTGTGGACCTGGCCAAGGTCAGCTGGGCCACCCTGTTGTCCCCAGTGAAGAAGTCCCATGTCTGGGGAAAGGGAGGTGCAGTCAACACCCTTGCAGAGCCAGGTCTCTCCTGGACAGGAAACCTGGGAGATTTCCAGTGGGTGATGAAGGACTCACCAGTAGCTCGGTGCCCCTCCCAACCCAGGAGGGAAGTGCATGCACCCACTCTTCCTTATAAGAATGAACTTGGGCCCACAGAGCCCTTGGCTGGGAGTCACAGAGGAGCTTGGGTGGAGGCAGACACTCTGGGCCCCTCCTGTCCTCAGGGCCCACCTGCCCTTGATTCCCACAGTCCCTGGCACCCTGTGGGGTATCCCCATGAGGGTCCCCATCACAACTCTCAGGGTGCCTCCTGCTTCTGTGACCACCCTGCAGCCTTTCCCAGGCTTCTCTCCAACCCTCTCTCCCAGCACCTACCCCCATCCCTGTTCTCGAACAGAGCCTCAGAAAGGGCTAGGAAAAACCAGGCCAGAAAGTTCGGGGAGTTTTGCTTACATCCAGGAGTTTTACTTTTATCTAGAGGTCCCTCGTTTGTCGTCTGTGGTCAGCCTGTCGACTAGGCCTGCCCCATAGCCCCATTTACATCACACCCTGTCCTCCCTCACCAAGTGGTGGAGGTCCACGCTGAGCCGATGCCCAGTCCGAAGTCCAGCCCCACATCTGGCCATTCAGCCTCCAGTGCCTTGCACAAGTCACTTCCTCTCTTGGGGTCCCAGAATCCTTACCGGGTGCCTACTGGGTGGCACACGTCTGGGTAACCTGACTTCTCTCTGTCCACCACATCTACCCAGGTCCCAGGTCTCGAAAACCAAAGAAGAAGAACCCGAACAAAGAGGACAAGCGGCCGCGCACGGCCTTTACCGCGGAGCAGCTGCAGAGGCTCAAGGCCGAGTTCCAGACCAACAGGTACCTGACAGAGCAGCGGCGCCAGAGCCTGGCGCAGGAGCTCAGCCTCAACGAGTCACAGATCAAGATTTGGTTCCAGAACAAGCGCGCCAAGATCAAGAAGGCCACGGGCAACAAGAACACGCTGGCCGTGCACCTCATGGCACAGGGCTTGTACAACCACTCCACCACGGCCAAGGAGGGCAAGTCGGACAGCGAGTAAGGCGGGGGGGCATGGAGGCCAGGTCTCAGTCCGCGCTAAACAATGCAATAATTTAAAATCATAAAGGGCCAGTGTATAAAGATTATACCAGCATTAATAGTGAAAATATCGTGTATTAGCTAAGGTTCTGCAATATTCTATGTATATATAATTTACAAGTGGTATAAAATCCAAAATATCTGACTATAAAATATTTTTGTTTTTTGTGTTTATGAGATTATGCTAATTTTATGGGTTTTTTTTCTTTTTTTGCGAAGGGGGCTGCTTAGGGTTTCATCTTTTTTTAATCCCCTAAGCTACATTATATGACATTGGACACTTTTTTATTATTTCAAAAGAAGAAAAAATTAAAACAACTTGCTGAAGTCCAAAGATTTTTTATTGCTGCATTTCACACAACTGTGAACCGAATAAATAGCTCCTATTTGGTCTATGACTTCTGCCACTTTGTTTGTGTTGGCTTGGTGAGGACACCAGGAGGGGCCCACACCTCAAGCCTGGGCCAGCCACTTCAAGACCTTGGGGAGCTTAGGGGACCTGGTGGGGGAGAGGGGACTTCCAGGGTCCTTGGGCCAGTTCTGGGATTTGGCCCTGGGAAGCAGCCCAGCGTATCCCAGGCCTGCCCTGGGAAGTCGGTTCCATGCTCACCAGCAGCCGCCCAGGCCCACAGCCTCACCCAGCTCCCTCTCCTCACCCTCCTGCCGTCTAACTCCCTCTCCTCCTTCTCCTCCTCCTCCTTTCTCCTCCTCCTTCCTCCTCTTTCCTCCTCTTTCTTCTTGCTCCTCGTTTCTTCTTCTTTTTCTTCTTCTCCTCCTCCTCCTCCCTCCTCCTCATTCCTTCCTCCTCCTCATTCCTTCCTCCTCCTCCTCTTTTCTCCTCCTCCTCCTCACCAAGGCCCAACCATGTGCATACATCATCTGTGTCTGTGGTCTGTGTCGCTGTCCCCAGTCCCGCTGCAGCCCTGCCGCAGGCCTAACCCTCATGCCCTGGGCACTGCCTCCATGCAGAAGCGCTTCGACGTTCTGGGGCTAAAGGCCTGGGGCATGTGGCCTAAAGCCCACGAGCGGTGGGGCGACCCTCCTTTTGGCTTGGCCCCAGGAATTTCCTGTGGCTCCATCAGCCACCCTGGGTGCCAGCCAGGGTCCCAGAAATGAGGCCATGGCTCGCTGTTTCTGGGCACGCAGAAGGCTGTGTAGAGGGAGATGGCATCATCTTCCTTTCCTTTTTCTTTTCTTCCCTGCTTTTTTTTTTTTTCTTTTTTTCCTTTATTTTTTTCTTTTCTCGGAGTGGCTGCTTCTGCTATAGAGAACATTCTTCCAAGATAAATATGTGTGTTTACACATATGTCTGTACGCATGTGAACACACACACACCAGGCGTGTTTGAGTCTACAGTTCTGGAACGTGGCTATCTTGTCTTTCAAAAGAACTCAGAATCCTCCAGGATCTAGAGGAAGGAAGAAAATGTGTAAATAATCATTTCTTATCACTTTTTGTCTTTTCTTGTTTTCTAAAATATACATTTTATTTTTGAAGGTGTGGTACAGTGTAAATTAAATATATTCCATATATTTCCCACCAAGTACCTATATATATATATAAACAAACACATTATGTATAACTCCACACTGTCTTCTGTTTAGTGTATGGGGAAAGACCAGTCCAACTGTCCATCTGTGGCTGGGACAGCACAGGGGGTGTGCCCATGGCTGAGCTGGGAGTCCCAGTGGTCTCCCTGAGGACTGAGGGTGAACTTCTCTCTTTGCCTTAAACCTCTTTATTTCATTGCAGTAATAGTTTTACTTTGTACATAATAGCGTAAACCTTTTTAAAAAGGAAAGTATAAAAACAAAAGTTGTAATTTAAAAGTCTGTGAATAACCATCTGCTGCTTAGGAAACTCAATGAAATGACATGCCTTTTTAGCAGAAAGCAAAGTTGGTTTCTGTTTTTGTTTTCTTTTGTTGTTCTAGTTTATAAAACATGTGCATTTTACAGTTCCAGTATCAAATATTTATAATCTTATGAGAAATGAATGAATGTTTCTATTTACAACTGTGGTTATCAAAATTGTGAACACCCCCCTGCATTTTTGTGTGTTTAAATTCTTGAAGGTTACATTAAATAAAACAAAACCTCTTTATTATAAAATACTGAAGGTCCCAGGTGGCATGATGAGTTTTCTAAGCATGTCTGAGTGCAGAGGAACTGCCTAGGCATCCTCCCCCGTACTCAGGCACTCATGGCCTTCGCCCCACCTCAGAGCAGGTGCCAGGTGCCTACCTTTGTAGCGAGAGGTGATTATTATTATTTTTTAAATGAGACAGTTTGGATATGTCACATATGAGCACAGAATAACCAAAATAATTGAAGTACACATTTTGTTACCACGAGGAAGTGTTCAAAACTACGGTGCTGTTCCAGTGACTGCATTTTTTTAAATTTTGCAAAGTTCAACAGGTCTCCGTCCGGCTGGGTGCTCACTGGCCCTGCCACCCCCGCTGGGCCGAGGTGCTTCCCCCTGGGGACAGGAACTTTTTACTCCACTGAGACAAAGAGAGTTTCCTTTTCAAAGTGTCTTTTTTGTTTACCTTTTGTTGTTTCCCCCCCAAAACAAAAGACTTTGTACAACTTCCTAAGCAGGCCTGGGGGAGGGAGCAGCTTCGCCTGTGGAGTCCCCCTCACCAGGAAGTGTTAGGGATCTTTGAACCAGTGATCTACGCGTTGAATTGCTGTATTTCCAAACTTTCATGGTTAAAAAAAAATTTTTTTTCTTCTTCTCCCTGTAAAAAAAACTCAGAGACTGACGAGGATCTTCTGTTACGGAAGGCGACTTTTCAGGCGTTTTCTGTTTCCCCAGGCCCCTGGGCCGTTGGCGTTCCCAGGCGGAAGCGGGGCCTCTGGGCTGGGCCTCTGCCCTGCCAGGAAGCGGTCTGGGGGCGGCCCCTCGGGATTTTCAGATCCCTGGAAAGAGAGAGCTGGGATCTCACCGCGGAGACTCCCGAGTTCTCGTTGCCTGGGCCCAAGCTGCGCCCCAGGGTCATCACTGATGGGGCAAGACCACGCATTCCCCACGACCCCCGACTTCTGAACAGTTCAGAAAGTTTGTAGTTTAAAAACCAAACAAAAAATACTGGCACAACTTCTATTGCCGTATTGGCCTCTCTCTTATTTTCATAAAAATACGGTAACATGAAGCGATCATTTTTTAAAAATCTGTTTTCAAATTATAACACCGAAAAGGGGCAAGGCACAGCTTTGTAAGGTAATGAGTTCCCCGTCCTCAGAGGCGTTCAAGCAGACACTAGGCTTACAGTGGCATGGAGAGTGTTCTTTCTCTTTGGAACTGGATGAGCCCTCAGACCCTTGAAACGCCGAGTTTTTTTGTTTTTTTGTTTTTGTTTTTGTTTTTACTCCTATGTTTATTACATTTTAATCCAACAGCATATAATCTAAACTGCTCCCTCATGGAGAGCCGCGGCTGTGCCACCCGCTTGCTTTGGCCACGGAGACCGGAGTCAGGCCTGCGGGGAAGAAGGTGTGCCTTTCCCAAGTCCTTTGCCAGCTGGTTGCTCCCGGGCCTCCCGGACTCTGCGTGCCGTGGATCTGGACCCCGACTGCAGACACCGCCTCCGGCCAGACTGTTGCCCCACAGGAGGAGGGTTCCCTAAGTGTGCAGAAGAGGAAAGTTCATTTATAAAGAAAGACCTTGCTCCTTCGAACTGAACGACCCCCACGCCCGAGGCCTAGCTGTGTCCCCGCCGGGCCCAGGCGGAGCTCACTCCACACTGCTCCATAGCAGGGCAGAGACTCCGAGAGGGCCTGGGAGTCCTGGTCTCAGAGGACCCGCCGCCCCGCAGGCCTGCCCAAGCAGGCGCCCCCGAGAGAGTGCGGGACAGAGAGGGCCTGGCGGGGCTTCTTGGCGCTCAGAGCCTTCCTTCTCCGCTGCACCCAGCTCTGCCAACGGGGCTGGATGAGTGGGGGCTGGAGTCAGAATCCCAGGGTCCACACCCGCCGACGGCCGCAATGCGGACCCGCCCTGCCTTTCTCCTAAGGAGCGAGGGAAACAGCCCTGCGGGTGACCCCAGCCTGACCACCAAGAGGGCGCCAGCGTTTCTGTTTTCCTAGAGCGAAAACGTCAAATCGATGGGGGCTCCTACGCCGCTGGACACAGGTGTGCCCGGGCGTCCAGTGCGCGCAACACACGCCCAGACACTCTATATGCAAATACGCCCGCCGCTGCGGGGCCGGCCGGGAGGCAGCGTTTGTTCGCTGGGGCTCTGCTAGAAGTCATTCTGTCTCCCGCTGCTTTAATATCCGCCCTCTGCGGTCTCCGCTCGCCTCGGCGGCTACCCAAGCGCCCCCGGGAGGGTCCCGGCTCCGCCGAAAACTGCAGCCTGCCAGGCGGAGCCGCCGCGCGCTGGGAGGTTAATAGCGACTGACGACAAAGGGCCAAGGTGCAATTCCGAAAGCGGGGATTCGCCGGGCGAGGCAGAAATCAGCCTCCAGGGAGACGAGTCCCCCCTTCCTGACGCGCCACTACAGCCCGGCGCCGGGCCTCCGGGAGGGGATCCCTCTTCCAGGCATCGCGGCCCCATTCGGCGGAGAGCTAGGCCCTCTCCAGGCCTCCGAATAGGAAGCGGACGCGGGTGGTGGGGAAGGGAAGCCGCCGGCGCGACGGAGAGTGGGGTCCCCTGGACCCTGGGGCGGGCAGGCCCGGCGCGCGGGCAGCTCCGTTGCACTGATTGGTGAGCCATGCCGATGGCCTCACTGCCGCGCGGCGCGAACCCCAAGTAGACCATTCATGTTTTTATTAATAATCTCAAACACTTCATGATATTTATGCTGCCTGCCCAGAGAAAATAAAAGGCCATTCTTGAAACCGCCTGAAATGTAATAATATTCATTAAAGCGGCTCCTAATTATGTGATTTAATCAAGCGTGGTGCGCCCGCGCTCTCGGCTCTCGCTGGAAAGGCTGGCGATGACGGTTATTATTACTGCTGTTGTTAGTGGCCTCGTGCTAGCAGCCGGCCAGCTCTTCAGTCCAGGCCCAGTTTCCTCAGAGAGACTCGAGGAGTCCCACTTTGAGGGGTGGGGTTCCCCGGAACGACTCCGAAGTCCCGGAGACCAGGCGCGGCCCAGGCCAGCTGCCCTTCTCCAGCCCCAGCCGCAGCCCCAGCCCCAGGCCTGTGCAAGGCCTGGGCAACTCTTCCAGGCCGAGGGTAGGGCTTTCTCCAGACCCTTGGGGCCCTCTGTGTCCCCAGGGGACGCCCGATCCGGCTTTCTAGGAGGAGGAACTCCGGGTCCTGAGCCGGGGCCCCGCCCCGTTGACTGTTCCGCCCC